CAAATATGGCGCTGCTCATAAACTACATAGACACCTAAGAGGGGAAGGGGACGTTCGAGTGCTGAAGGTTCATACAAATTTACAAAAAAATGTATGAGTGATTACCTACGCATGGGGAGGAGGGTCTAAGATCTCACACACACTGTCTATGAAGTTTACGAACAGGCCTTAAGTATTTTCTATCCATATTCTAAGCATTTCTTCATTTTTTAGTACTTTATTTGTGTAGTGGAAATTGTAGCCTCCTTAGCAATCCTCTTCGTCAGTGGTGAAAAGAAAAACAAACAAAAAAAAAACCAATATACAAGTAGTATAATTCTTATAATTTCAAGAAGAACATTTCAAAAGGTCCTATCTGATTTTAAAGATTCCCTTCATTAACTTTCTTTTTCGCTAATAACTCAGCTGCAAAAACATTCCTGGTTGTATTTGACGTTCTGAGCACTAGATAAGAGTCAAGTTGAAGAGGATGTAGACTTCGTTGAACCAAGCTGACATGGAGTGGACAAGGTCATGAAGGCTGTATAAGGAGCAAAAAAATCCATTAGCGAAGCTTAAATAGGCAACATTCCGTTTCTGCTCTAGCATCTGCAGTTACAACAATCTGCATCGATCTTCATATTGTGGTAGGTTCAACGGGTCTCGCCACGGGAGGCGTCGTATACGGTAGGGAATATCTCACAAATTTTCTTTGAATTGCTTCGATCCTAGCATTCCAAGTTTACTGGTATGGGGACCATACGAGAGAGTTGAATTCTAAAATAGATCGCAGCCGAGTGCAGAACAGAGACCGGAAGCAGAGAGGATCATTTACCTTTCAGGACACGTGCCATTTTACAAAGTACAACACGAAACAAACAAAAAACCTACTGACGTTGGAACACGTTCAACGTGTAACGAAACTTGTTTCATGAAATTTGATACCCATGTTTAATAGACCAATACTTAAAGAATGTTTTGGAGAATATCAAGTTTCATGAAGTGCCTTCAACGTAATTCATAAACAATTCGCAGGATAATTTGAACATGAATCCCAGCTGTCGGTTGGCTTTGCATTGCAATCGGAAGGTTAGCGCTGAATCCAGGATGATGCCAAGATCACGAGCTAGAAGAACACACTCAAGGGACAGACCATTAATTGAGTAATCGTACATAATCGGGTTGAGCTTGCGATGAGACGATTTGTGGATGCTCATCGTTACATGTTCCGGGATCAGCAAAACGATTCAACAACAGTTGTAGAGCATAACAGTCCACCATACCTTTAACGGCCATGTAAGTGTTGACGTTATCAGCGTGATGGTACACGGCAGCCAGATGGTATTACGATAGAAAGCACGTTTGTAAAGAGTGAGAATTACAAAGGACTCAGGTTGCTCCCTTGTGGCCGCCAGATAAGTTTGAAAAATGTTCTGAAGATTCAAATCCAATATTAACGGTAAGGTAACGATCCGTGGGGTAAGATCCAAACCAGCTGACAAGATCAGCAGAGACACTAATTCTTCCTATACGTTCCAGGTAAACTCGATCGAAAGTTGATTTTAGATGAGTGAATGTGGTTTCAATTTATTTAAGTTCAAAGAACATGAATATCAATTCAGTCAAATGTCTTTCTGCTATTTGTCCTATATCGCATTTGAACATTTTATTAATCATCTTAAGTCTTCGTTGGACTATGAATACAGGAATCCCCTGAATAGCACGGTGGATGGAACTGTTCACCCATCGACATTTATTGTCTGTCCTACAGCAAATGAGCTTATTTTTTGAACGTGATTAGGATCAACCATAAACTTGTCACCTACAGAAAATCAACTTAATTGGTTAAAAGACAGCCGACAAATTGTAGTGAGTGGACGAAACCACGCATCGTGCTATTCGGGGAATTCCTGTGTGGTTAAGAACGGTCAGATCTCACAATAGGTGGATAAATACAAGTTTTTCCTAAGCCTTCAATTTAAAAAAAATATGAATTCTGAGGCTGCACAAAATATACTTTTCCTTTTTTGTTATGATTTTGACATTTTAGTTCAAGAAGTTTATAAGACCGAATAGGTCTATAGATTGGAAATAACCTGGTAAAACAAGATAATCCAATAATCTCAATCCAAGTATGCTCAATGATTTCCAATAAACCTATAGGCTATTTCATAACAGGTTTAATGCAGTTGATTTTCACCATTGCTTCATACAACCGAAAGGGTTTCATATCCCCATAGGTCACGCATCTCTCCATTAATTTGAAACGGTAGCCCATTTTTGTACCAATAGAAACAAAAAAAAAATCACATAAAAAGTCGCTCCACTCCTCCAATTAAAAAAAAACACGTAGGGTAGAGAACTACTTCGGCCTAATCGCCCATTTTTGGCCTATCGAGAAGAAAACTTCAAATAAATCCATGATTTCAGAGTTAACAAGTCAATTATGTGTTTGATACGATACATTAGTTAATAAGCTACGGAACGAAGTCAATGAGAACGCGTGATATGAAGGTTTGCACCCATTATTCTCAAAAACAAAAGAATCGAAATAATTTTTATTTTCATCCGATAGGCCGAAGTGAATTCATTGGCGTTTCAATGGCGTTTGATTGGGTTAGGCCGAGTTTAGAATCCGTAGGCCGAGTTTGGCGTCAAGAAGCAGTGTTAGACTTTTGACAATATCTCAACGATTGGCTTCTCATTATCAAATCTTACGGTACATACGGAAAGGTAAATAAATTTGGAAGCCATCAGTAATAATAACATTCCGTTTGGTGTTAAACTACGCTAGATTAAGAACGACTAAGTGCGGGTTGTGCTTAATAGGCCGGAAATGGGGTAGTTAACCCTACTTTACATTCAGACAAAGATGAAATGTTCCTTAAAAAATAATCCTTAAAATATGAAATGCACTTATACTAAATATTTAATTCGCCAAAAAAAGATATGAAATACCCAAAAATGAATGATTAGTGCCAATAAAAAAGGGCGGTTTCTATGGAACATTTATTTTATTTATTTTTTTTGCTCGTTTCGTATTTTTTAGGAAACATCTCTTCTATTTTAGAAAACCTGTTAAAACGGTATTTTTGTTGCTGACGGGCTCCGATCCTTTAACTCTGAGATAAACTAGCTTACTAGCCTTAAGGAGAAGCTTACCAGCCCGAAAATAAAAAAAATATTTTCGGTACGTTTTTATTTTAGTAAAAATATTGGGATAAATTATCAAAAATCCAACAAAATCAGTTTCTTCCTTGGATTTTTGTCAAAAATTACATTTAAAAAATATTTTTTCTATCTCATCATGAAAAAAAATTGGACTCTCATAAAAACCGAAAAGTCGATGTTTTGTGGTTTTTTAAGTCCAACTTTATGCCATAATGATATATAAAAAAAAAATTCGCCCGAAAATAAAAAAAAAATATTTTCGGCACGTTTAATTTCTCTAAAACATTGGAAAAAAATATCAAATATCCAAGAAAATCAGTTTCTTCCTTAGATTCTTTAGAAAATTTAAATTTTTTTTCTATCTCATCATGAAAAAATATTGGACTCTCAGCAAAACCGAAAAGTTGATGTTTTGTGGTTTTTTGAGTTGAACTCTATGCCATGTTTACAAAAATTATTTTTGCGGGTGAATTTTCTTTAAAGAATACGAAAAAAAATGTGATTTCTTAGATTTTTTATATCTTTTTCCCAATAATTTTAGAAAAATCGAAACTCAATTATTTTTTTTCGGAGCGGTATGGTTCCTCTTAAGGGAAAGCTTACCGGCCCGAAAATAAAAAAAAATTTCTGCACGTTTTTATTTTTCTAAGAATATTGGGGAACATTATCAAAAATCCAAGAAAATCAGTTTCTTTCTTAGATTTTTGTCAAAAATTACATGTGAAAATATTTTTTCTATCTCATCATGAAAAAATATTGAACTCTCGGCAAACCCGAAAAGACGATGTTTTGTGGTTTTTTGAGTTCAACGTTTTTAAGCATATGAATTTTCTTTAGAAAACTAGAAAAAATGTGATTTTTTTTTTACATTTTTGATATCTTTTTCCAGTGTTTTAGAAAAATCGAAACGTAATTATGTTTTCGGAGCGGTAATTTTCCCCTTAACAAAGAGTTAAAAAAATGCTCCTCTTTTTCTAAAAAAACACGGGCAGGACACTTCACGAAAAATATAAAAGGTTCCTTAAAAAAATGAAATGCTCCCTAAAAAATATGAAAAGTGCCAGTACAAAATATGAAATGCGCCAATACAAAAAAAATGATATGTACCAATTTAAAAGAGGAGTTGTACCATAAACTTAGGTGACTTCTATGGCACATTTCATCTTTTCGATTGGTATATTTAAATTTTTTTTTTATTTCATATGTTTTAGAGATCACGTCATCTTTTTTAGACAACATTTCATCTTTTATAAGGTTCTTTTTGACGCCCGCCCAGGATAGTAAATATTCAGTTCAAGAAAAAGATGCAATTTACCCTAAAAATGATTAAATGTTATTTGAAAAATATGAAATGTTCCGTAAAAATCGCTGAAGTTTATGGAACATTTCATTTTTGGTATTGGCAAATTTAATATTTTTTATGGCACATATAATTTTATAACTTTTTATGGAACATTGGCAACAAATATTGGCACATCTGCCCGTTTTTTATTGTGTAGGTGAAATTTCAATCACTTAATTTATTCATTACATAAAAATATTTTCCCAATTTGAAACATCAGAATGTCCAGAAACGCCCACAGGACAAATTGATGGAAAACTTCAAGTACCGTTTTGTGATCTTTTTTAAAAGGGAACGATTCTGAGGTCCAAAAAAGTGATACTATTTCGGTCCAGGATTTCCCCCTTGAGCACGTATGTTTTAGTAGGATTTAACGTGTAGTCACGTGTTGATTTTCCCTCAGTTTAGCGTTGGCTAACGTGTTCCATTTAGGCAGATTTCAAAAGCATTTGTAGCCACGAGGCAGAAATCAATAACTATATCACAAGTCAGTAGCCACAATACTTACGTCGTCATCATGATCGAATGCGTTGAAGACATCATACGGCAGGCAGCTAAGCAAATCAATGATGAACCATGATTTTAAATAATTCATGCGAATAACCTTCGGATCACTGACCACCTCTCCTCCCGGGCCAACGAACGTAGTGTGGAAATTTAATACTGGAATTAAATGAAGGAGCTCATTAGAATAAACAATTCAATGAGGAAAATCATTTATCGTTGTCATCGTCATCGTCGTCGTCCTTCTCAGCAGCTATTGAGTGATTCGGACTACATTTATGTTCTATTCGATATCTTATTCAAATATTCAGAACCTTTGAGTCGAAAGGTATTCCACTTGGGGAAATAATTGGAGTTTTGCAGAAATTATTATACAAGTTGCCAGTGGCGGTGTTCAATAATGCGCTAATACATGAACTCATTGTCTACGTCTATGCTATTCGATCTTCATTAGATTTAAATAATTTAGCAGAATAAACGTTTGCAACTGATTGATGTACTTTGTCTGTATGAATTTAAATAATCATTTAGGGTAGAATACTTACCGATATCTATGAAAAATATTACATCTACTATCGAATCGACTACTAGTAGTGAAACATCTTCGGATGTCTTGTTTTTGAAGGCTACATTATATGGTACCTGGGAGAAAATGAGAATTTGAGTTCAACGGTTTTTCGATTTCATTAAAGAACATAGCAGGTAAGTGGTTTCATCTCAACGTTAAAAAATTTATAATATGCTATCAATTAATCAGTATAAAAAGTGTTGTTCAACATAGACATTGAATGTAAAGGAAACGGCATTGATTCAACTATTACGGGCTATAGATTGTTAAGTATCACATAAGACTATATGAGATGACCGTTACAATGTGCGACGAAGAGATGCAAACCGTGAAATAACGTAATTTATCTATCGATAAACTTTTTTCTATCTCCAACAATGAATCTTTTGCCTTTTGATGGCATTTTGAGAAGATTTGATTACAAAGATGATAAGAGATGAAACCATCGGTGGTGAGGGCAGATGTTCATGCAGATTGATAAGCTGAAAACACTTACCATAATTGCAGTATAAAATGTTAAACACAATATCACCCAATCCCAGATTGCTTTAAATGCACAATAATGCAGTAATATATGCGGCGGTGTTTTTGGCGCTTCCTGACGATATTGTGGCATAACATCGGCACTTAATGACATCATCTGTTGTAAGGTAATGTACGGCCGAGTGGGTGGCAAGCAGCACAAGAATGACAATGAGAGAGGACGAGAATTAGTATAGCACACGACACAAACAAAGGGATATGAAAAATGGGGACGAACATTAAAGAGGAGTAGGGATGCAAGGATATTTAAAATTAAAATTGCGATACAAGCTAACCATAACACCAGTTGAATAATTGATGTCGAAAGCAGCATCGTTGGTGAAATTTCTAATATTGAAGCCATCCTAAGGTGTACATAAATATAAGAGACTGCTGCTGGGAGCATATACATTGCTTCAAAATAGCGTCCAGAAGGGTAGAATAAAGCTAGTTGGTTTGATTTAAGCACAACGCCCTGAATAAAATAAAGATATTGAATTGTGGAAAAAACCATCAAGTCTTGTCATATTTGCATTTATTACAATCCCCATGATATTGCTTGGATAAATAATAAATGAAGATAGGTTCTAAAATTCAAAACTTTGAAATATATGTTTTTGGTCTGTAATGCATTTCAGCCTATGTTTGCTGCTGTAGGAAGGCCTCGAGGGGGACTTTAGAGTTGAAAAAAAAGTAAGGTTATTGCAAATTATGCAAAGTTGGCACTTAGATTTCTTTATGATCGCCTTGCCTTTGCTATGCTGTCCAATTCACACTTTTTTCTTCTAAACATGATGCTATTATTTAAATAACCAAATTACTTTTTATAAAAAAAAACACTAAATACCGTGGACCGTAATACTCAAATCAGCATATTCTATAAGCCTTTTTACATGTTGAACTCTGATTGCTGATTAAGCATAAAAACGTTTCACATAAGGACATTTCGCATAAGAGCGTTTCGCATAATGTTCATTCTGCATAATGGATGTTCCGCATCAAGCTCTTTGTACGAGATAGACATTTGGCATAACGCAGATTTTAAAAGAAGGATGATTTTTCATTGTATTATAGTCACTTTAACACAATGTTCGTAACTTGTACGGAGATGAGGTTTGAGCTCGTGGCCTTTATCGTGAGAAGCATGGATGCTAACCACTTCGCCCAGCGATGCTGCAATTAGGAAATTAAACGAATCTCAAAATTCGCAATTAGAAACTTAAAAGTTTAAAGTATGTTTTAGGTTTAGCAATCACATTGTTCATCTTCTAATTACAAAATGAACCTATTGTGTAGGCTAAATGTATTCAATTGAAAACGATGGTCATAAAAATAATATTGACACAAGGATGGTTCGCTCTTCTAGGTATTTTCAATGCTTCTTAATAAGTATATAATGCTTAAGTTAACCCATCATAAAATAGAAAGCATCGTGCTATTAATCTTCCGCACCGCAGAGTCACTCTGAAGGTGCACTTGAGAGCGCTCTCGAGTGCAGATTCAGTGAAAACACAGAGTGTGACTATACGGAGCGAAAATTTTGCATTTTTATAGGGAGATTAATAACATTAAACTATCTATTTAACGATGGGATAACTGAAAACTGGATTTTACGGTACCATTGTATGATAAAAAGTAATGAAAAAGCCCCAAATAGTTTGTTTGTAGCATGATGCTGGAAAGAAAGTATCACTTTATTCAAGGGTCGATTTTTAATCGCTATATGTGCGGGTAACTAAGTCCAATGAATCACTAGCAAGGTCATTTTGCCCGTAATTCAACATCAATATTTTATCATATGGCGTCTCTATGACATTACACCGAATACCATTATCCTTAACTCCATTTCTTTGCGAAAACTATGAGCCCCCTAATGACCTGTTTCCCCGAATGCCATTATTCCGAATGTATTATCAGCCCAAATGTCAAAGAATCACGTCCCAGGTTTTATTCACTTTAACACTAATCACGGCAACGAAAAACTAACACCGACGGAATTTTAGGCAATGACCAAAGTGCACCGATAGAATAGCTTGTACAGTCACCCCAGTAATGGGCCACCTACGATTATGGACCACTGCCATTTGATTATCACGCAGAACTGATTGACCCATAATAGTGACTAGTTGGTCCATAATACTGGGGTGAATATATCGATTATCCAAACTGTCAATAGCTTGATTGAGACCAAGAGGTACATCTACTGTTGCCGGGTTGGACAACAGGTGTGGTTGAACTGAATAATTTATATCTAGTTGATGGTTTTTATCTGTCATTTTTGTTTTTTGTTTTAAAGAAGGTGACAGCTCCAAGATTGAAATATTACTTTCGACTGTATCTTTCAAAAATAGTTTAAAAGAAAAAGTCATCTGCATAAGAGAGAAATGGCTGTTGAACATTTCAGTTTGATTGTTCAAACGATATTATCTGTCAAAAAACTCCTCTTCATATTAAGAAGCAGCAAATTCTGCGAGATAGCATTTTCAGTTCGATTATTAAATAGCGATCAGCTCATGATGTAGGATGAAGCAGTCAAATTCAAGAGAGAGAAATGACAATTGAGCATTTGAGTTGGATTGTTCAAAAGCATGTATCTGTTTAAGTACAGCTCATGTATTAAAGAAAGATTTAACTACAAGAGAGGAGGAAGCACCTATTAAAAAATTTGAGAGAGTTAAATCATTCTGGGATTCAGGCTAATATACTATTGGTAGTAATAGGCCATTCGGGGTAATATCGTAATAGGCCAATCGAATGAATGATATTCGGAGTAATGACAATCGATATAATGGCCTATAAGCTTTCATATGGCATACATGAACAACAAAATGCCATTACCGATCCAAGAACAACATGGTTTTGTTTTGATGATCGAAATGTTATTCCTATTTAAAATTAAACACATAGTGATTGAGAGCAATGTTTAACCTACTAAGCAGTGTTTTGATCGCACGATAACGGATCGCTAGCTTTCGCTAAAAAATGCTGTCAAACCTAAAGTTTTCATACGTCGTTTGGTGGACCCATAATGTTACTTAAGCCAAATTGTATACAACGGATATTCGGAAGAATTATCAAGTCCCCTTAAGTACAGCCTATTCATCACTTTAGGAACACCGATATCATCTTAGCAGCAAACAGGTCGATTTATTCACTTTAGTAAAGTGAAATCAAAACGATGAATGTACATTTTTCACGGGGTTATCTGCTCTGCATCTCATAAGAAATCGGATGACTTAAGTAACGTCGAGAAATATTTTTAAGTGCTACTATATTAGGAAAATATATAGTGTAATAGCAGGAGCAAACTATGAGATGCGTCCATTGTGCGAAATATCCATTGTACCAAACATCTATTATACGAAACATCTTCATTCTAAACGTCTTTATACAGATTTTTTTAAATTTGTTCATATGTTTGCTGCTAATTATGATGCTGTTGTTAATTTGTTGCTGATTTTTACATGAGATAGTATTTTCATTTTATTATGGATCATTTAAATTTGTCAAGGGTAAGCAGATAGTTGGCCACCTTTTGGGAAGAGTTAGTTTCCGGTTGGACACAAGTCTGGTCCTGTGGAAGATCCGGAACACCCGTAAAAGTGGTAAATTGATTAAACTGATCCTAGAACTCCGTGGTTTTTTTTTTCAAAACAACTCATAAACGTTGTATCAGAAATAATTCAGAGTTGGGATCAGAGTATGGACCCTAGCAACCATTTACTGATCGTCCGAAAGATCCACAACATTCGTAAAAGTGATCAATTCATGAAACTGATCCTAGAGCACCGCGGTTTTTTTTCCAAACCACTCATAGACGTCTTAAATATCACAATAAATTCGGAGGAATGACCAGTAAGCGGACACTGGGGACCACGAGATGGTCCACTAAAAGATCTAGAACATCCGTAAAAGTGGTCAATTCATGAAATTGATTCTAGAGGTCCGTGGTTTTTTGGAAACTACTCATAGACATCCTATCAGAATGTATTTGGAGTTGAGTTCGGAATATGGACTCTGGAGACTACAGGATGGTCCACCGGAAGATCCGGAACATCCGTAAAAGCGCTCAATTCATAAAACTGATCCTAGAGCTCCACGGTTTCTAAAAAACCACTCATAGATATCTTATCACAATAAAATCGGAGTTTTGACCAGACAATTTATACTGGGGACCACGGGTTGGTCCACTACAAGATCCGGATCAGTTTCATGAATTTATAACTTTTACGGATGTTCCGGATTTTGCGGTGAACCATTGCGTGGTCTCCAGGGTCTATATTCTGTTTACAACTTCGAATTCATACTGATAAGATGTCTATGAGTGGTTTCGAAAAATACGCCATGCTTTAGGATCAGTTTCATGCATTGACTACTTTTACGGATGTTTCGAATCTTCTAGTGGACCATCCCATAGTCTGCAGTGTCCATATTCCAGTCACAACTCTGAATCCATTTTGATAAGGTATTTATGAGTGGTTTCAAAAAAACGTGGAGCACGAGGATCAGTTTAATGAAATGACCACTTTTGCTAACCTTCCGAATCTTCTACAGGACCATTCCGTCCATATTCCGATCACAACCTCGGATTCATTCTGGTAAGACGTTTATGAGTGATTTCGAAAAAATATGAGCAGCTCTAGGATCAGTCTCATGAATTGATCACTTTTACGGATGTTTCGGATCTACCAGTGAACCATTGCGTGGTTCCCAGGGTTCATATTCCTATCATCACAATTCCGAATTAATTCTGATAAGACGTCTATGAGTGATTTCGCGGTGCTTTAGGATCAGGTTCATGAATTGACCACTTTTACGGATGTTCTGGGTCTTCCGGAGGACCAGACTTCTGACTTTCCGGATGTAAAATTGCCCCAAAAGGAGGTCATCTATCTTGTTAATAGCTTTTCAGAAGACACCAGGAAGTTATCTTTTCAAATTACTCTACAATTAGTGTTTGTCCCCAATTAGCTCTAATCCCGAATGCTACGTGTATTCGTTAATGCAGTCCCTATTAACCTTACTATAGGAATCTTGACTGTACTATGATGTTTAAACTACAAATGCTTAAAATTCAACTTATCAAGAAAAAAACACATTGAAAAAGGGCAGTCAAAACTACATACAGACTTGGTCAATCAAGCCACAAATTACACTGCTTAACATTGAATGCTTGACCAGCAGCCAACATTTCAGAAATGTTGATGCTCTTTGAAATGTCATGGAGAGACAAAAAATCACAGTGTATTAAATATTTTTAATGTCCAGTACTGTATATAGCATTTTTGCCTGTCAACCAGCTAAATAAATTGCAGAGTTAAACAGAATGTATTAATGTGTATTACTCATCCATATTTCATACCATTTCCTTGTCAAAACAATGTCGTTTGCATAATCGAAAAATAATACTTACATGAGCTAGGTTTGATTGCTTAGTAGGATCCTTTAGCGTAGGCAAATGCGCACTAAATTGACGGCTCCTGGTGACGGATCGGGCTAGTTTGGCAAACTTTGATAACCCTTTTGAAGACACGCAAAAATACGAACAGAGGAAAAAGCAAAAGAACAGAGTAATTGATGGATTAAAAATGTAGATTAACGACAAGCGGTGAAAAGGAAAATCCAAACAACTTGAAAGCACTGTTAGAACTCTACGGCATCTTTCATCTACAAGCGGCTGAAACGCGTCATGATAAAAAAAAATCGTCCCTTGTCGTACCGTGTGCTCGCATGGAAATCTGAACGATGTTTTCGTGGTGTGGACCAAAAGCTACCAACGGCTTTCTTTTGCGTACCAACCGAAAGGCTATCAGACTGGACCTGGATGGGACATCGAGAGGAGGCCAATTTCATTGCTCCCAGATGGTACATAAAAGATTCATCGCCAATGACCACCACTCATACACTTATGGGACGACGAAACGTGCAGATGAAAGGTGCAGACGATGTTTTTCAGGATGAAATTTTGGGAAACCTCGTAACATAACGATGCCAATGATCATAATGTGCGAACAAGAACGCATATTGGGGAATTATTTCTACTTATTTCGAGAAATGGAAGCTGCACTACACAGAAGACCCCTTTTCACAACTAAAATATGATCCATTTACATTTACGAAAACTGTACAAGTATTTAAATATCTGATCAGCATTACTATAATTTAGATAATGTATTACTTTATCCGTAATAAGTGGTAAGTTTTGACTAAAAATAATTCTAAAGTTGCTATTATTGAACACATGTTTACAAAATTAAATGATCCCAAATTTATACTTCATAGGGAAAATGGATGTAATATCGGTCTAAATTCCCCTAATTTGGGCCCATACATAAATTCAACAATCGACTAAATTTTCAATAGTGACAAAAAATATCCACCATCCCAATGACGCATTCATCTAGATAAAATTGATAAATAGCAGATTTTTAGCGATGGGTCCAATCTTAGATCCATAGGCCAACATTAGAGCCATTTCCCCTACATGTTTTTTTATATTAGATTTCTATGTACTTTTACAATCGTATTTGAAACCAAGAGCAGAAATTATGTAATGACTGAAATAAATGCAAAACTTTTCAGCTGAGCCAGAACAAAACAACCAGAGAGCATTAACATTACCCTCAAAAGAAATGAAACCACCACGTTATGAATTTTGCCATCACAACATTTCAACAAGTTGAAAAGCAAACCGATGCCAAGGTGAAATCTGAAAAAAGGCACACAGGTTTGCATGTTTCAGGATCAACAGCATGCTTCCATTGAATGCCAACGTGGAGGAAAGCCGCTTTCTACCCTCATCATCCTTTCGAGCACCACTGGGTAAACAAACATCCACTTGATATGCGAACGGAGAGTGGCATTTTCACCGTGAATTTCCCTTTCACTCCACTCTACTTCACTACCATCGAGCACCAGATTGGAATATCTCATATCAAAAACGGCTTAACCACGTGCATTACGCCCTGAATGAATCTCGACAAGCAAACTGTTGATGACACTCAACCTGTAACATCTCATTCTTTTTGTGGCACTTCCGATGTGTCATGCTACATCATGTTAATATACGCCGAATATTTTAAACCCAAAATACTTGTTACGTAACAGGTGTTCTACACATAGCTGCTACGAGTACTTGAAGACACGTTGATAGCAATGACAAGCGCGGAAGAGACGAACCAGCGCAGGGCTGAAATTCTCTATAATAAAGTAAAATAAGAAGAAAGAAGCTATGACAAGCGCTATTACATGCCTAAGTGAATGATTGGCGTTCGCGATGGTGTGCGCTATTTTCACGTTACATTTTAGGTACCTAGCCTAGATGGATGGTGTAGCATCAAATTCAATTCTAGTTATTGTGCAGCAAAGTGGAAAAGCCTCATTCATATTAACATATTAACAAAAAAAAATAAATAAAATAATGAATGTTCAATAAATTTAAAAATTGATAAGATGATATCATAGCAATTAAGTGTACATGAGTACTTTGTATGATTCTAAAATGGTATGAAAATGATTAACGGATTTTTTTTATGAACTCTGCACTAATCAGAACTTTCTAGGACAAGTGTACTAGTTATTGACGTACTGTAAAACGGGGTGAAGTTGATCAATGAGGGGAAGTTGATCACATACGTTCAATTTTCGTTTCTTAACAATCCTTTTTCATGATATAACAAACGATGCATTCCACCATTCTAAATGTACAATGTGGTGGAAGTGATAAAATATGCAATTTTTAACTGTTCCCAAAAATGCTATCAGAAACAGAATTTATGTTGGGCTGTGTTAGGCAAAATTTCTTATTTTATTTTATTTTATTTTGCGTCGCTAAATCCGAATCTGAAATCAAATGAACGATTTTGTACCATAACATTGATTTTATTAGAAAAACTGATGTTGGTTGCCTTCATTTAGGAATATTTTTATATATTGCAGTTTAATCGTAAACCACAGCTTTTGAAGAAATGTTTGCACCATATTCTGCATCAGCAAATATCAAGTATAAATGCTAACCTCTGAATATTTCATTGCATAAAAACCTACAATTGAATATTTACATTTTTTATCTAATTTTAATTCTAAAAAATAAACCAAACATGCTAACAAAAATTCGTACATCAGACAAACATTTGCCAGTAAAGGTTTGAAAGGTATTTGTATGTGTTAAATATGGTTGAAAAAATATTCAAGTTTATCGGAAATAATTGATCAACTTTCCCCCGTTTTAAGGTAGCTATAATGTTCGTCCATTTCTTGAACCAAACTTTAACAGAACTAAATAAAACTTTTTTTTATGTAATTATATTGGGAGAGTAAACACTAGTACCTGGTTGTAATTAAATTAATTTGCCCTTTTGGTTCAGTAAAAATGGGTTTTGATCAATAATTCGTAATTATATGATATGATATGCCCTATTGGTCTTAACTATGTGATCTATGGATAAACCCTATACTGAACCATCATGAAATCCTTTATGTTTATGACATTGTTTAGCTGTTATCGAATCAGCATAGCTCATTGAATATTTCTCATTGTAAAACAACGTCGCTAAAACACTACAGCCATCTGGTGAGTATACTGTGGTGAGTAGTACGCTGAACAGATGGCGGTAGTTTGTAAACGTCAAATGCAAGGAAATTGACTATGCGCGCTACGGGTGGCGGTACTACCAACTACGATACTTTTAAATTGACCGTTAAATGTTAAAAAAAAAACATTTACCAAAACTTATTCAATCAGACCAAATTATAATGCACGAGACTATACAAAATGTGACCACCGATCCACAACAACACAATCGGAAAAATCCCATCACTCGAAAACGTAACGTATGAGAAAAACTATTTTAATTCAATTATCATGCACCACGTCCGGCTCTCTTCACACAGCAAAATTTTCTCAAGTGCACGATAATCAGGTGATTAACTTTCCATACATATAATTTTCATTTTGCTTTGCTAGCACACTGCTCATTCAACCCAATAAGCCATCGATCGTACAAGTTTGTTATCTATTACTTTAAGACAAAAACATCACACACGTGATAACAAAAGCCTGAACAATACATCACAAGCGATCGAGCTCATACCGGAAAACAAAACGGAATAAGCTAGGGAAAAAAGGAGCAGCAAAAAAAAACAAAACGGAATGTGAGAGCAGCACACAAAGCACAAATTCAGCAAATATTTAGTCCCAAAACTAGCACAAAACGTGCCGCACCGATTGGTTCTTCACACAGCACTGCCAAAACGATGAACGAGGAGTATAAGTTTACTTTTCCCATAGTAATTCCCATATAAACTTCAAAGGGCCAGTGCAGTACGAGTTCGCAACAAAATGAGCTCTCATTTTGAGAGAATGATCAAGACCTGATTTTGAATTGATTGAGTGGGGTGGAGCAAATAGATGTTTTGATCCACCCTAATACACATGCGTCAAGTAAACAACGTTTTTACATTAGAGTACCAATGGGAAAATGAATATACAATCGACTAGCAAAAACAAAATCAATTTTTGGAATCATTTCAAGTTTCAGCAAAACGATTTTCGACATTTTTTTTAGTCAACGCTTTATCTTTTTCGTTTTACATTTGGCATAAGAAGAAAATTTTGCTGTCGTAATTTCATGTATCTATTTATTTTAAGGCGCGTTCCTGGCATAGTTTGTTCTTTGGTTGTTAATATAAAACATATTTCGGTTTCTTAAGGAACGAGTGGGAACATAAAAGTTTAGATTTTCTAAAATCTCTGTGGCATTCACTCTTTGTGCTATAACATCGTTTATAAAAGCTATCATTGCAAACTGTCTTCGCTTTTAAAGTGCATACAAATTTATCAATATATATCGAGACTCTAACTTTCTTAGAGCAAATAATAGCAACTATTTTTGAACTGATTAAATGCAGTTTATATGAGTAACTTGATATGGAGCCCAGACTATACTACAGTACTCAAGCAGAGGTCTCACATATGCTACGTATAATGTTTTTATTGTATATTGGCCATTGAAATGAAAACTATACCTTTCAAGAAACCCTACACACTTAGATTTTTTTCCGAGATCGGCACCACCGAGCAAGCTCGGCATTTATTTTTACTGAGATCTCAGCAAAATTTATGTTTGTTAGCTGAGATCTCGGCAAAATTCCCGTTTGTTAACTGAATCTCGGCAAAATTTTCACTGAGATACAGCTAAATAGATTGCCGAGCTGCTCGGTGGTGCCAATCTCGGAAAAAATCTAAGTGTGTAGCATGTTGCTTGCCTTATACATAATGTTATTATAATGTTCAACAAAGCTAAATATTGAATCTAGTATATCTAGTATCCCTCTACCTTGGGATATTTTTCATATAAAAAAGTTTGAGCTTTGTCCGCATTGCGGCACCCCTAAATCATGTCCGATTGAACCCACATTTTGCAAAGGGGTTAGGCAGTGCACATTTGGTATATGGTCGGTTTAAAAAAAATCATTGGCACCCTAGTAACGATACATGAAATCAATTAATCGAAATTTGTTTTTGTTTAAGCCGGCGCCGGTGGTGTAGTGGTAAGCGTGACCAACTGAGGTCGGTGGGATTTTTCTGAGGCATAAAAATGTCTGGTCACGTCTTCCTTCGGAAGGGAAGTAAGCCCGTTGGTCCCGGCCCATGTGTGTTGAATGAGTGCGATATCCTACGCAGGTGTGGAAGCTGCCTTCCTGCACATTCGATTGCCGTCAATGGATGGCAATCGATGTCCGTCGGTGATTGGCACTAGATTGCGGAACAGAGACCGACGTTAAATAAAGGAAATAAGAAGAAGAAGAAATTTCTGTTTATGCTATGCCACATGTCTCAAATCTGCATGAAACGTCGAGATCTGATGTTAACTTGAAACTATTTGTTTTGTTCAAAATTGACTTTCTGGGACTTTCGGAAATAAAATGTGTTGATGCTAAATTACTTTAAAATGCATAAAACGTTTAGATCTAGTGTTAATTAAAAAAATGGCTTTCTGGGACCTTATTAATTTTAGAAAATCGAAAATTGTTTAATGCCAAACGACTTAACAATACATGAAATGTCAAGTGAAAAAAAATTGTCCAAAATTGTCTTACTGGGACTTAATTTTTTTTTTATCGTTTCAAGCATTTTTAGGATATTTGGCATCCATAAAAAAAAACAATTTCCGAAATTTCATGTACACTCTTAAATCATGTCCGAGCTCAAATTTTACATAGGGCTTTTTTCGAGGCAAAGAACATTTTGTATGTGGCCCGTTTAAAAAACTCGTGTAAAAGGAGATTCCCTCCTCGCTTGAACTGAACATGTTCTGCGACGAGCTAAAAAAAAAACAAATGTTATTTTTGCATTCCTGAATTCCTGGCCAAGCGAATGGTCCGGAATCAGCAATAGATAATTTTGATTTTATGGATCACCATCTCTATTGACTGGTAAATATGTACAGATTTGATGGACATTTCTTGTTGATAATAGCGATCACCGAGACACCGTGTAATCTTATCAACAGAATTCTTCAGCATTCTTCTTCTTCTTTGCATTTTAAACTTATTGCATCTCGCACATTAGCTTATTGCGTGCTCTCAACTTTGTGTTCTAAGATGCACTTCCACCAGTTATTAATTGAGAGCTTTCGATGGCTGTACCATTTTTGCACTAGTATAATTGTGTGGCAAGTACAATCACAACTCTATGCCCAGGGAAGTCGAGAAATTTTCCAACTCGAAAAATTCCTAGACTGGAGCGGGAATCGAACCCAGCCACCTCCAGCATGGTCTTGCTTTGTAGCTGCACCTTTATCGACTGAGCTAAGGGAGGCCCCAGTATTCCTCAGCAATTAGTGATGAAAAATGCAATTCATGTGTTTGCTTTCATTGAGCCAATAAAAAGATAATTTTTATTTTATGGATGAGCAATATGGCAGTTTTGGTATGTATAAGTTGTTATCGCGTTCCCAGGCGAAAATAGTCAAAGAATGACATGGTTGGAAAAAGCTGTATTTTTAAGGACAAAATTGATAGAATCCACAAATAGTCGCAATCATGGTTAATTTTACAAAGTAAATCAGCCATGACATGGATCATTTGTTTATTCTATCAACATTGTCGAATATGAAATTAAAATGCTTATTTTTGTCAAATCTTTCTGATTTCGAAACCATTTAAATGTTGGTCAAAAGGAATCTTTGAACTATGATTGAATCTTAAAATGAAGTAAATCATATGGAAATGAAGTATAGTCATGACCAAGCGGTAGTGCACTTTCTACGATTAAGTGTGATGATCTACATCTGTTATGTAACTTTCTACAACATTCTTTAGAATGATATGTTTAAGGATTTTACCAAAAATAATTATCACATGATAAGCTCATGAAAGATGTCAAAATTAAGATTTTTAAAAATGAATTGATAAGAATTATTTGCACTAGACTGCACGATATACTTGTATTTTGTCTTTTAAGTACAATCATTTAATAATAATTCCATAGCGTTAGCCATAAATCAAACGCGATAATGTAAGTAGAAGCGAATTATTTTGAAACGTTGTCCTAGTTACAAATCAAGACTAGGTACAGAAGAAGTAAAATAAAAGTGTAGAAGATATAGAAAGGTCTTTCGTTGACATCACTTACCAAGAACTGTAATAGGAAAATAGTAAGAATATAGAGAAGCCAAGCAGCGAGAAAGTAAATTGATAAAAATTAAGAAACTCAACCAGAAAAAAACTGATCGCTTGACATCATTTTCCGAATCATGGCCATTAATAATGACAAAATCATTTTTTTTTAATGGAATTAGGAACATGTAAACAATTTGCTATTATCAATAAACTTACCTCCTTTCGTGTCCTCGCTGTCAATTGGCTGTTTGAGTGCCGTGATGTCACGGAATGTCAGCAAGAACAGCACAACCAAATCTCGCTCGTTTCTGATAGGTGCCACCTGTAGTAAAAGCCATAGTGGCGTTTCTGCAATAAACAACAAAGACATTAGGAGAGTGATGGTTCACCGTAAAGCTTATGATAAATTACTCCTTCGAGACTCATCAATATCCAGCCCATCTAATGACGGCTGCTCTGCTATTATGGCATGAAATCACAAATTTACATTCTTTTGAATCTGAGCACATCACTTGTTCAGTATTATTCTCCAAACAAGCATTGCAACCTCCTACCATATCTTATGTATTCCATCAATTTTCTTCTTGGGTGGTGAAATAGTTTAACTCTATTATTAATGATTCTTTGATAAACTTTGCCTCACTACTAATCATTCATCACTTTCTTGCTGAATAGAAAAAGACGTATTCCCCGCGTATCGGAAAAAGATAGACAAACACGAATTTAATCTCACTAAAATGCTACTAAAATCTGGCTCTCATAATATTCGACATAGCCGTTTGTCTTATCAAAATCTTACTCTGAACATTCCTTTATCTATTATTAACAGTATCTAGCCCGCCATCGTGCCATCACAGTAATGGATCTTCATAAGCTGACACATTTCCGATCGCTACACGAATGGTATGCATTGCTTGCCAAAGCAAAAAGTAAAACCAATATCTTCCACTTATCCGCGTTCAATCACCATCGGAAGGAAAGTAACAGTTTAATCAATACTTACTGTTCTTCTTATACAGCAAGACTTCGAACTGGTCATGCTGTTGATGCTCCAGTGCGTATTCGACCCTCGCTACGGTTTCCTTCTCTGTCAGCTCACCATACATGAAGCCACATCTGCACAATACACCAAAAATTATTCATCAAAGGTGTTCCTTCGAATCGACTGCATTACCTGCACGACTTCTGCATAACCTCGGCGCGGTTGTAGCCGCTAATCTTACAAAAGGCCTCATTGCAGTACACTATTGGAAAATCGACGATTTGAGCATTCGCTAGCAGAAACGAACTGTCCGCTGAAATTAAAATGAAGAAAGGTACACAATTCAATTTATGAAAACTTCTAAATGGAATGGAGTTTTGAGGTTTTCGAAGCCAGAACGAAATAATAGTTAATGTTTCGACACTTGACCTTCCACTTTTAGAACCTGCAAAACTTTCACCAGGAAAATCACAAAAATTGGCAATGTTTTCAAAAAGCTACAGGGAAAACTTTGATTCGAGGTGTGAAATTATAAAATTTGCTCCAACATGGCGGGCGTAAAACAAGAAAAATTTGAGAGTATAGGGATGATTCTATTTCGGGGCATCATTGCGTTTCTCGTAAAGATGGTTTTTAGGACCATCACACTTTTAATACGTCATCAGGAAGTTGAAATTGCCTAAGGTGATACGATCCAGCTTCCCTAAATCACAGGGACTTACGCTGCCAATTCGAGTTTTCTAGGCATTAAATTTGCATCACCATATTTGCTAGGTCGCAGCAACCATGGGAAAGCAGTGTTATTGTATGTTTTCCGGTAGCAGATAATTGACCCCTGGAAAATACGAAGTGGCCTCAAAGCCCGGGCTTCTAAAACGTATCACCCTAATGAGGCAAAACTTCAAGGAAGCTTGGCGAAAATTCGAGTCGTGTCCAAATCCTTTTGCATTTATTGTAGAAAACTACTATTTTCGAGTGGATTTTGATGATCGCCACGATTAGAACCATTAGAAGTGTTTCGAATCTAAACAGCTTGTTACGCTTCTAAATTCAAGCTGATTAGGGGCTGTCCATAAACTACATAAACAAATAGAGGGGATGGTGGGGGTTCGAAATTGTCTACGCGCGTCTACGGAGGGGGGAGGTACAGCTACTGCCACGTATTTTTTTTTTTTGTTCGATGAAAACCTGTTCGATATTTGATATGCAAAAACTTTTGTTTTGAATTTCTTAATGAATCAAAACCAGATTAAATACGATACAACAAGTTCATACCTTAATTTATGCAAAGTGTTATTAGTTGGAAAATGGTCTTAGAAGAGGGTAGGTAGATGGTTCCGTTAGAGTACGGCAGTATGAAAATTGAATAGAAGTTGAAAATGAGCGAAGGGAATATGACAGTGCAGTGCAGCAAGCTCAAACTTTTTGCCTATAGATTTGAAGACATACTTCAAATCTCCACGTACATCGTATGGCTTAGGCAAAGAGTGTATGATTGACTTGCACTGTCGCATTCATGGCCCTTCGCTCATTTTCAAATTCTAATCAATTTTCTAACGGAACTATCTACCTACCCTCTTCTAAGACCATTCTCTAGTTAATAAATTATCACACTAAAGCTTCGTGTTAGATAGCATTTCCAACCAACTCCCATAATTTGTTGTTTTTGTTGATGTTTTATTTAGGAAATTATGATCGCGGTTCTGAATTTTTATTGTAAATTTTCTGATAATTTGAGAGAAGGCTCTTGATAAGATTTTTCTAGAAAGTGCGTTGAAGGCTATTTCCATAAGTATTTTTAACGTAATTCCGGTCGTGTGAGCTGTGATTCGGGTTTTCCGTTATTTTTGGTTCCGTTGTGAGATTTGTATTTTCTAGTGCGCGGTTCAAAAGTAAAATTTACGGGTTGCGAAGTGTAGTGGTGCTTTTATTATTTTGATTACCTCTGATATTTCGGAGCAGCTGAATGCTGAAGATTCGGAAACCAGCAGCAGTTCCGGTGTATTTATGTTTCCGAGCTGAAAAAGAAGAAGGATGAAGATGGCCAGCGGCACATCTATCACTAGAGCCGTTGCTGCTCTTCTGTTTCTGCTGCTTACAAAACGAAAACTCTGCGATTTGGACCATGTCATTTTTGAGAGATCGGTGAGATCATTCCATATTTTATATTATTTTGCAAACAATTTAAATTTATATATGGCAACAAGTTATGTGTTGGGTTCTAGACATTGCTGGTGTTAATGAAAATCGATCAATAATGCAGACTTGAATTTTTCCTGGCGTGAGGACACAAACTCACAAACACAGATATCCAATTAAGGGGAAATTCACGGCTCCGAAAAAATAATTACGTTTTGATTTTTGTAAAGGTATTGGAGAGAGATAACAGAAATCTAAAGACATCACATTTTTTCTGATTTTTTAAGGAGGATTCATGTACAAAAACATTTTCTAGTCATCATGGCATAAAGCTGGACTCAAAAAAACACGAAACAGCGACCTTTCGGTTTTGCTGAGTGTCTAGTTTTTTTTTAATGATGAGACGAAAAACATGTTTTTGCATGTAATTTTTCTCAGAAATCTGAGGAGGGAACTGATTTTCTTGGTTTTTTTTATGTTTTTCCCGGTATTTTTGGGAAAATAAAAACGCACCGTAATCGAAATTTAATTTTCGGTTCGGTGAACTTCCTCTTAAAGATGCCCACAAAACTAGCTTCTTTTCCCTTTTGACGTTGGATAACGTCTTTCGGCAACATACGGGGGTACAAAATTGAAAACAGTAATTTTGGATGCGTTACGAAAAATTAAAAGATTTTGAACGATAATAACTCAACCGTCCCTCGATAGATTTACAATATAGTGGCATCAATCGATTGGAAATATTTCTATCAATTTGCTGAATGTTTCAAAACTATTGATTTCATTCTGTAAACTATTGAAAAATGGTTAAAAGTAAAACATTGTCTAAAGATGGTGAAAATCGATTGATTTTTTTATATTCTTATACTTTCTCCAACCAAGACATCAGATGCGAGTATCTGACACCTCTGATATTTTCTGTTCTACTATATAAGCGTCCAACAAGGTCGCCCGTTCCTTCATTGTCTATCCGATCGTCGACCCAGCAGCAGAGCAGCAGAGCAGCAGTACCAGAGCAGCGGAAGCAGAGCAACGGCAGCAGAGCAGCGGCAGCAGAGCAGCGGCAGCAGAGCCTGGGGGCGAAAGGGCAACTACGCCGAGTGCGTTGGTGTCAATGCTCCGGTATACTGGGCCGCCGTCATGGAATGCCCAGCTGCTGCAGTTCTCAGTAGGTCGTATTCACCGTCTGCTCCGCAAGGGCAACTACGCCGAGCGCGTTGGAAAAATGGGCCTTTTCAGGGCCACAACATTATCAAGAAAGAGTTTAACGATTAATTTTCTAATGCCTTTCCGACACTTGAATATCGAAAGTTGAATCTTCGCAGAGCCATAGATTCCATTTTTATTTCATTTCTACAAAACTTATTTCAGAATCGAACTTGTCTTCACAGACTGTGTGAAGAAAAACCATGCATCATCGAGCACAACCCGTTCCGTTCCAAAATCGTCCTCATCACAACCTCCAAAACAACCATCTACCCTCTCGACATCTCGAGTGGATTTCCCGGTTCATCATACCACCTAGCGCTGTTCTACTGATTGGTAATAATATTTACCCGGAGTTCACCGCACTCGTGGTTAAAGCAAAGCGCCCGGCATGCAAACCGCTCATCAAAATCGCCATCGCCATCCGGTACCCATGCTCGGCATAACCATCATTCCAAAACCACAACCAAAACGGCCCTATTCAGGGCCACCAATAATTTGACAAAGAGTTAGTTTTGAAGACAATTTCTTTCCAGAATATCACAGTTGCACTTAAATTTGAGGACTATACTGGGGTGTGGGAACGCTGGAAGGGGAGATGCTGTCTGTCTTCGAACTACCAACATCATTCCAAAGCTCCTCCAGGGCGACAGAGTAGAGCAAACCCAACAACATCAGCCCAACAAAACGGCCCTTTTCAGGGCCACCAAACTTTCACAAAAGAGTTATTAAGTAATATTCCTAAAATATAATATACACAATTAAGTACAACACATAACAGACGTTATCCAACGCCAACCCTGCGGTCGTATCTAGTATACAACCCTTCCAACTTTTTTTTTCATTTCCTTCATCTCTTTTCAGAAAGCGAGTAATGGCGCTATAACCATAGGCCATATACACGCTAACTTGAAAGTACTCATTAATGAGTAAAAAAAGACCCATTTTGAAGAAAAGTGGCTTAACTCATTAATGATTAAACAATTTTACCCATTAATGAGTATCTGTTACCCATTAATGATTAACAATTACTCATTAATGGGTAAAAAATTTACTCATTTAATGAGTTAAGCCACTTTTCTTCAAAATGGGTCTTTTTCAACCATTAATGGGTACTTTCAAGTTAGCGTGTAGGACTAGGACAAGAGTTAGTGCTCATGTCCGGACCACTAAAGAAAGATGGAGCATCCCTTAACATTTTTAGACTAGATGCTCCCAACGACCAATAATTTATAAATAACAATACAACGGAACGTACGGTACGAGATGTCCACGTTTCATCCATTTATTGGATTCTGAAGCATTGGGTTTAAATCTTTGACTTAAACAGGCCCGATGTTTCTGAATCATCTTAACATATACCAAATAGACAAGAAAAATGATGGAGGTATATTTATCATTTTCCAGGATGCTTTCATGAACTGGCTGTGTTGGTGTTAGATTAGATTAGATTAGGATTAGGTAAATTTTCTGATAATTTGAGAAAATATATTGACGGAACTGGGGAACCACGAAATACATTCCAAAATCGCCAAAAACTACCAACATTTAAAAAAACTACTTTCAAACCGCCACATCTCGAAAAGGGTGCGACTTAGCAAAAAAAAATATACAGGTTCTTTTTGACTGTAAATATATCATATATATCAATATATCAAGTCGAAAAAATAATTGAACAAAGTTTTGGATTTTTTTAAAATCACAACTGTATTGTTCACCGTTTCTACATCTTGACATATATTGGAATAGGTGGCATTCATTGTCCCCTAAAACATATAACATGTTTAGAGTTTTTTTTTCAAATAGATACAGATATTCCCTCCAATTTTCTGAAGATAAGCTTAACATTTTTCTATTGGCTTTTTTTTTCAAAATTAATGCTCGATTTAAAATGGTGACCTGATAATGTAAAATGGCATTTTTAGAACGTTACTGAAAATTATCAGCAAAAATAAAAGAAAATACGAA